TAATGTAAGGAATCCTACCTACATAATAACTTAATGTAAGGAATCCTACCTACATAATAACTTAATGTAAGGAATCCTACCTACATAATAACTTAATGTAAGGAATCCTACCTACATAATAACTTAACCCCACAACTGAGACCTGCAGTCAGACACCGCGAGCTCAGCGGTGGAGCGCTCAGGAACAATCCCCCTAGGAACGCGAGATCCCATAGGACTTCTGACGAGCACAGACACGCGTCAGAAGTCCTCCCTGAGGAATTACACAAGCAAAGTTGGGTTGCTAAGTTGAGCCGCTGAGTTGAAACATTAGGCCGAGGGCAGCTAAAGCGGGCCCGTTAAGTTGAACGCTAATTTGGGCCAAACAAGCTGAGTCGCTAAGTTGGGACCAAAAAGTTGGGCCATGTGAGTTTGTTTAGCTAGCTTATTCGGGTCAGTTTGAATGGACAAGCTAAATATAATGTCAGCTAAGTTGGGCCCACTAAGTTGGGTCCACTAAGTTGGGTCCACTAAGTTGGGCCCACTAAGTTGGGCCCACTAAGTTGGGTCCACTAAGTTGGGCCCACTAAGTTGGGTCCACTAAGTTGGGCCTACCAAGTTGGATCCACTAAGTTAGGTCCACTAAGTTGGCCCCACTAAGTTGGCCCACGAAGTTAGGTCCACTAAGTTGGCCCCACTAAGTTAGGTCCACTTAGTTGGCCCCACTAAGTTTGGCCCACTAAGTTAGGTCCACTAAGTTGGCCCCACTAAGTTAGGTCCACTAAGTTGGCCCCACTAAGTTTGGCCCACTAAGTTTCCACTTAGTTGGCCCCACTAAGTTTGGCCCACTAAGTTAGGTCCACTAAGTTGGCCCCACTAAGTTAGGTCCACTAAGTTGGCCCCACTAAGTTTGGCCCACTAAGTTGTCCCCACTAAGTTTGGCCCACTAAGTTTGGCCCACTAAGTTAGGTCCACTAAGTTAGGTCCACTAAGTTAGGCCCACTAAGTTGGCCCCACTAAGTTGGCCCCACTAAGTTTGGCCCACTAAGTTTGGCCCACTAAGTTAGGCCCACTAAGTTAGGCCCACTAAGTTAGGCCCACTAAGTTAGGCCCACTAAGTTGAGCCCACTAAGTTGAGCCCACTAAGTTTGCCCGCTAAGTTGTCCCACTAAGTTAGGTGCACTAAGTTGGCCCCACTAAGTTAGGCCCACTAAGTTAGGCCCACTAAGTTGTCCCACTAAGTTGACCCCACTAAGTTGACCCCACTAAGTTTGGCCCACTAAGTTAGGTCCACTAACTTAGGTCCACTAAGTTAGGCCCATTAAGTTAGGCCCACTAAGTTGTCCCCACTAAGTTTGGCCCACTAACTTAGGCTCACTAAGTTAGGCCCACTAAGTTAGGTCCACTAAGTTGTCCCACTAAGTTGGCCCCACTAAGTTGGCCCCACTAAGTTAGGCCCACTAAGTTAGGCCCACTAAGTTTGGCCCACTAAGTTTGGCCCACTAAGTTTGGCCCACTAAGTTTGGCCCACTAAGTTAGGCCCACTAAGTTTGGCCCACTAAGTTTGGCCCACTAAGTTGGGCCCACCAAGTTTGGCCCACTAAGTTTGGCCCACTAAGTTGGGCCCACCAAGTTAGGCCCACTAAGTTGGGCCACTAAGTTGAGCCCACTAAGTTAGGCCCACTAAGTTGAGCCCACTAAGTTAGGCCCTCTAAGTTAGGCCCTCTAAGTTGGGCCCTCTAAGTTAGGCCCTCTAAGTTGGGCCCACTAATTTGGGCCCACTAAGTTAGACCGGTTCTCACCTGAGCCCAGGCAGATGCCCATGCTGAAGAACCAGAAGAACGCATCGAGGTTCTCATGTGGCGACACGCGCGTCGTCGCCGGCGTTACGATCAAGTTCTGAAGTTCATGAAGTTCAAGTTTAAGAAGAGGTGTCAAGTCTGAAAGTTTGCCCTCCCAGTTGAAGGTTAGTTCTAGCTTAGAACTTCCCTTAATTTAACGCAATCAAATTTTCGTACGTTTGGGTTGAAACTTTCAAGTTATTCAAGTCGACTCTTCATGTTGAATTTCAAGCTTCGTTGAAGTTCTGCTCCATACATAACATTCATAACTTGGAAATAACTCCCCGGAACTTTCACAGCTCAAATTAAGAGAAAAATTATATCTTTACTGGGATATGAACTGGGGTAACTTGGCGAGCATAAAACTTTACATTTTCACAGAAACTCTAATTGCCGAAACAAAGCAATATTTTCCAGAACAAGGCAATATTTTCACCATCAGTGAACATCTTCAAACACGTTCATCACTTGAACGAATTCAACAAATTTCCATAAAATATACAATATAATATACCGGTATACATAAAAATTTTCACATTAGTTCGTGTAACCAATAAAACACTTCCGCTGATTAATCATAGACAATAAGTTTAAATTCTTAAATAAAATTAGTAACATTCACAAAAATCTTGCAATTTTTAACCCTATTTCGCCGATTGCTTATATTTTTTTTGTCGAGGCTGCAAATGATAACAGCATGATTAGGAATAATTATAGACATGATCATTGCATGCTCTAGATGATGTTATCATCACTCACACATCGTCACAAGTTGTGGTGAACTCATCATCACTAACACCGGGCGGTGATTGTCTACGGGCACTGAAGAACTGGTTTACAACCCAGGTAGGAATAGCATAACGAACAACCCAGGTACGAATAGCATTACGACCAACGCAGGTAGGAACAGCATTACGACCAACGCAGGTAGGAATAGCATTACGACCAACGCAGGTAGGAACAGCATTACAAGAGGACGAGTTGCTCCACCAGCGCGAGGCCAACAGGTTGCATCAACCTACAGGATTGATCAGCTGCGACGTCCAGATTCTGAATTGTGATAAACTTCGGCAGATATAAGATGATAAATTATTTATCTGATTCATGCTTTACGTTTTTACAATTGTAAAGATTTAATTGCTGGAGTATATAAATGAGAGAATTCGATAATTGATAAACAGATACCCTTGATTTAGCAAAGCAAATTAGGATAGTTTCTATGAAGAGGTCTGAAATTTAACCATGAATCCTCGCCTATATTCTCCTGTTATGAATTAATCGCCGTCAATGCTATTTCTACCAAAACTGGTAACGAGAGCTGCCGTCAGCAGACAAGTCGTATTACGATACTAGGACAAAGATGGCATCAAGATTCAAGATATGACACAGTATCTTCAAATTGAATGTAAAACTCGGATCTAAACAAACTATACTTATCTCTAGTCAACTAGAAGATATAGATGAAAATAAAGTTCATTAGTTCATACAATTTCAATCATTAATCAATACTAATCATAGCGTTCCCAGCAACAATCGTGGCGATTGTAGCAACAATCCAGGAGATTCAGTATCAATTCCACGCCCAGGTTCAACAATCGCTTTTGATAAGACGCTATCAACACTTAAAAACTCCAAATTTGTTATAGAAAAATAAAGGGGCTTCTATTCACACTTTACTTAAGTTTTCATAGGTCTTCTTATCGGTCAATTGTATGTCCGTTCTTCAGTTCCATACTGGCATACGCCCTCAAGTCTCAAGCAGAATGGCAAAGGGTATTCATCAAACAAAGTTCTTCCTTCACACAATGAGTCCAAAAAAAACTATTTTAATCGAGTCCAAAGTTCTACCCGTACGCCGTCTGTTGGAATATTTCTAAACATTAACCTCTGTCGGGCTACATAGGTAGAACTGTGCCTACACTCATGACGATTACATCATGGTAAACTTATGTTGCCTGATAAGGTAGAAAGTAGAATAATTCACTGAGGTTTCATCGATGTGACGTAGGGCGAAGTATAACTAAGTTAGGCATGTTCGTGAGCACTTCGAAGCCGTGAGTGAACAAGCGCGTACCTAACTACCGCATTACTGATCCAATGATGGGGCAATACCACAAGTTCCACAACCACGGCAAATCTATCACGAAACGTAGTTTGTACGAAAACATCTATGCACATGCGTAAATAATTAGCATACATGAGAAACATAGTTTATTATCCATAATTCTTTATTTAGATTCAAGCTCATGGTAGAGCTTGCACCTGGGTCGCAATTTCGATCGGACGGCTATTAAAAGTCAAGGAGCAGCAGCACGGCAACACCTGACACCACGACAGCCCACTCTACACTGAGGGGCAACGGGCAAGTGAAGCAAAATTCTTGCAGGTGTTACTGGACCTTCAGGTGCGGTAGTTCAGAAATATCGATTTATTTAGCGCCTGGTAAGGTAAATAAATACGGTAGTATAGAATTGCAGTTTATGAAGATACAAACCAAGATCGTAGATGCCACGATGCTCGTGAATTGTAACGATGAAAATAATTTCCACGATCCTCTTCAAAAAGAGTTTGAACTTCTTGCTTTAAAGTCTTGATTAAAGGACATATTTAAAAAATTCGAGAGCTAATTAAGGATTATTTGTGAGATATTTTGACAGCGCGTCAATAGGAAGCATTCTTTGTTAATATTTATTTTGCTGTTTGAGCACTTTTATATACAAAAGCGATCACAGGCAAATATGCTCATTCAGGAAGGTACTTCTGGTATTTGCGAATAGACTAAAAGCTCTACTGTTTTGAAACTATATCGAAATTAAATGACTTTATTATGAAACGTTCCAGTTTCGATTATTATGAAATGTCCTGTTTGAAATTTGAAAAGATGAACGAATAAATTATTTAAGCAGCTGGACAACCACACGAGTAGTTCATTCCAGGAGAACACTGAGACGACACTACATATACATAACCCTTATATGATAAGGTTGAAAATCTTCGAAATTAACGTATTTTCCAATACCGCTATTTGTATTTCGGAGCAGGAGTTGTTTTTTATCCAGGAGTGTGGGATAAATGATCCCTAGAGCTTTCGATCGTCTCAAACATAAATTGGGTTGATTCAAAGCAATGTAACAAACATTGATTGGTAAACTATTCAGGAATGTTAGAAAATATTTTTTCCGTCTGAAATATAACGATGACTTTATTTCTAGCAAATAGCAGAAATATTCATGTATTAATGCAAACTTGTTGAAATTAATTACATGAATGTAGCGAGTTTCGTTCAGGATGATTGCATTGATCTTAATATCATTTGAACATTTCCCAGTAATGATCATCTTGATCAACATTATTCCGCAATGACTGCTGTGTGTTTCATGTTTTCCTGTAGAAACAAATGGTATTCGACGTACAAATATGGCTTCTTTACAACCATTCTACTTCATTCCAGTTATTATTTCATCCTTAGGCCCTTAATTACGACGTCTCTATAACATTTCTCTGTCCCCAAAAGCGTGTCAGTTAAACTTACTTCAAGTTACAGACAGCGACGTGTCTCTCGAAACTAAACGCATCGCATCTCTGCCATTTAAAATATGTCGGGCCTGTCAGCTGCCGCATCAGCTGAGGCACCGCATATAGGCCTATAGTGATCGTTCTTTAATACATTGCGTTGTTTCACTGTTGATTCTATAACCACGAATTTAATAAGGGCACTTGTAGACGTTTAAGTTTAATAACTTTATTCACGAAGTAGGTTAACACAATTGATCACAAATCGGTTTTAACAGTAGTTCATTTAGGACTATATAGCTTATATTAAATAGTTCGGACACTGGACACGTAAAAGGCTAGCGTATCAGGAAGCTATAGTAATCTGTGTATTCGGCGCCACGTGTCTCTTCCAACTGACTCTCCGGCTATCCGCCCAACAACCTACAGTTTCCGTTTACTCATTTTTCGGCTCCATCCTGCTAAAGCGCGACCAGCCCGGCTAAACCCGGCGCCGGTCTCGGCTCAAAATTTTAACTGGGTTGGTAAGGCATTCTTTGCTTACTAATCCTGTTATGAAATACAGTCGGATCGATAGAACTCACAACATTGCTATCCTCAACATAAAAACAGCCGTGGAAAAGAAAACGATCAAGGTTTCTACGCTTGTTTACGCTTTTTCCGCTAGTGAACTGGAAAACGCTAGCTGGAAAAAGAGTCTAGTAGCGCCACGTGTTCAATTATGCAACTGTGTGCGCCCATTCGAAGCTGTTAACTTTAATAAGCCACTATCCGAGTAGTGAACGCGTCATGGCCAAATGAGATTTTATTTTGAAAACATTTACCTTATTTACTGGACAGCAAATAATTAAGGTAAAGTAAGGGGAAATAAAGACTAGCCTCATTCCTGCAGACTAGCCTCATTCCAAAATAAGGAATGAGGCTAGTCTGCAGTGTCTCCCTGTCCTCTAAATTTCTCCTATCATCCTCTGCATCTCTATCTATCGAAATACCAGATACGCCCGTCATTTCAAAATACTTTCTCAAATATATTGGCTGTTCATTCCATGCCTTTAATTGCGCATGATGCACCTTATGGATCTTTCCTACTTCATCTTCTATTTCATATGTAACACCGTTCGATTGCCTCTTAATTACTCTACAAGTCCCTCAAATTTAGGCTCTAGCTTGAACTTAATCTGATTACCTACTCTATTTATTCTATGTGCTACTTTCTGCCCTATACTAAACGAACTAAAGTTTCTATGCCCTTCCTTCCAAGTATTCATCATTTGCGCGCTGACTGGCAGTGCACATCTCATTGCATGCGTCTTGCTTAGCAAAAACTGCGCCGGGCTATCGCGTATCTGTGTGTGAAACGTATTATTATACGTGAGCAGCACTTCACTAATTTTCCTATCCCAGTCTAACTTATCATCATTAACTACTGCTTTCAGCATCTGAATTACAGTTTAATTACTTCGCTCTGCGCAGCCGTTCGATGAAGCCCTTTAACGCGTCGAATAAATGTGCGTAATATTGAATGATTCCAGCGCATCATTAAATTCTTTCGCTCTAAACTCGGGGCCTAAGTCTGTTAAAATTCTAGTTGGGATTCTTAACATACTCGGCAAAACTCTGTCGCATAGTGCGGCTGCTACGGTTTCCGCAGTTTTATTCTTAATTGGCACAGCAACT